CTTATAATTTCAACGTGATTCTTCGGTTCGGAACAATTTTAAATTCCAAACTTTCAAAACATACAATAAATTGATGATACATTCGTACGCATCATTTTCGCTTTAGCACCCGCGCGTATATATATTTCAATTTTTGTTAAATTTTTATATTTATATTTGTTAATCATTTTTATAAAATATAAAATGAATGAATTCAACTGTTAAATAATTTGATATCATATTTATTATCATATATATATATATATATATATAACTTTACATAATTTTAATATTTATAAGTATTATATTTAAAATTTAATATTTATTTATATTTTTAAAATATATTACCCGTTGAAATAAAAATGTTATATATTAATTAATATATTTATTTTTTTATAAATTTTTACAAAGCTAATTTATTTGAGAGAAAGACAAAAAGCGGTTTTCAATAAACTTCTAGCAAAAAGGATACATAAATAAATCAAACATATATGAAAATGCAATACATTAATTAATAGTTTTATTTTTTTATAAAATTTTATAAAATTAATTTATTTCAAAGTAGCTCTACCAAGAGAGACATATAAATAAATCAAACATATATTAGAATGAAAGAAATATAAAAATTATATACATACGAGACTATATAATTAAAAATAACTTATAAAGAATTAATTAATATTATTTTTATCACAACTAAATATATCTACTTTTCAATAGTCTATCACTTAAGAATTTTAAAGTTATACATGCTTAACTTAGATCAACTATTGGATAGACAACTTGCAAGTTAATCTGTCCCAAGTCTATATATTTAAAATTGGATCACGCTAAAAATTCAAAACTATTTGGCTTTTCAATTTTAATGTTAAAATTTTTATTTTTTTTTCAGGTATTTTTGGTCAGTATGATACCTATGCCTGAACATGACTTTAAATATCAAAGAATATGCTATCCTACATCCCAATGTTTTTGTCTCGGAGCTTGCATAAATTGGCTTAGCAGATGCACATAATAAGATATCTTCCGCCGAGTGATGGTAAAGAATATTAGTCGTCCAAAGAGCCTCCTTATATTTGGCTGGATTTCAGTACAAATCTCTTTCCTCGATTGCAAGGTTGTGATGTTCCATTGGGAAACCACATGGTTTGCAATTCATCATCCCTCATTCTTTTAGTATGTCAAGTGTATATTTACTTTGACATATGGATATACCTTCAGATTCTCTAGCAAGTTCTAATCCAAGAAAATATTTAAGTGTGCCCAAGTCCTTCGTAAAAAAGCAATTGTTAAATAATTCTTGAATTCTAGGCAAAAAGCATGATTGTTGACTGTTATGACAAGGTCATCCACGTATATGAGAATAGACAAAAAGGTGGTGCTGTTAGAGTAGGTGTACAAAGTATGGTCTGCAGGACTTTGAACAAACCCTTATTTGACCAATGCTTGAGTGAGCTTTGTATACCAAGTTTTAGATGCTTGTCGTAAAATATACAACGATTTTCCCAATCAATAGACAAGTTGACGATTAGAAACCACATATCCTGGGGTCGATGTCATGTATACTTCTTCGTTAATGTCTTCATGTAGAAAAGCATTTCTCACATCCATGTGGAGCTCCCAACCTCTGGCTCCTGCAACTGTTAATAAACATCAAACTGTAGTCATCTTTGATACTGGAGCAAAGGTTTCTGTGAAATCTTGACCTTCTACTTGTGTGTAACCCTTTGTGATCACCAACTTCGCTTTGTATTTATCCACCCACCTTTAGGTTTATATTTTATTTTATAAAACCTTTTGCAGCCAATCAATTTTTTGCCTACAGTTAGCGACTCCAACGTCCAAGTTGCATTGGTTTCAAGGGCTTTAATCTCTTTAGTCATTGCATTGTACCACTGTATATGTTTAACTACCTACAAGTGATGTTTTGGCTCATCATGTGAAGTGATGGTAGCAAGAAAAGCTTGGTATTTTGGAGAAAACAGTTGTAACTCACATAATTGGGTGATGTGCATGATGGGTTTTTAATAGTAGCATGACAATAATAATCCTGTAAGTATTTTGGTGGTTGTCTCGAACGTGTCTCCAATACTACTGTTTTTGCATTTGTGTCATTCTTCCCCTTACGTGAATTATGCAGCTCGTCTATCCTCTCCATTGTATCAGGGGCATTTTGAATGACATTATTTGGTGTGGCATTTGGACTATGTATATCAGTGTAAAGATCTGTGCTATGAGTGACCTTAATGGCATCATTTTCCAAATTTATTTGGTTGTTTGGAAATGTTGAGGTGGGAACTAATTTTTCTTGTAATGCAAAGGGAAATATGTTTTCATAAAACACTACGTCGTGTGATACCGAGAATTGTTGTATGTGTGGGATCATATACTAGCCATCCTTTTTGACCTTGTGGGTACCCAATAAAAATGCACCTGTGGGCTCTAGTATCAAACTTGTCCTTCATTTTGGATGAATTCTTCCCATAATGGAGACATCTAAATACCCTTACATGAGCATAAGACGGGGTTTTTTTGGTAGAGAAATTCGTATGGCATGATCCCTTCAGTGGCTACTGTTGGAATTCTATTAATATGAGATGAGTCATTACCAATACACATTCTCCCTAAAAGAAAAATGGAAAATTGGCTTGAAACCTTAGTATTCATGCTACATTGAGGATGCGTCGATGCTTTCGTTCTACATGACCATTCTACTGTGATGTTTTCACCTAAGAAGTTTCATGAAAAATACCTTTTTTATGAAAGTTTATCACATATAATTTCTTATGTTGTACAATATTCCACAAGTTAGAAAAATCCTTTATATAATATTATCATTTATATTAAATATTTTATTTATTTAATGTTTAATTTATATTTAGTTATAAATAATTTTACCCTATTTTTTGTGTGTAAATAAAACAGTTTCACAATATATTAAATTATTAAAATATATGATTTTTTAAACATTTTTAATATTTGTTATTGTTTTTATATTTTTAATTACACATGATACAATTTCATATATCACCATGGCAATGAGCATATGCCTATTTGTTATCCACAAATTTTGGATAAAAAATGAAATTAAATGAGTATTGTACTCAGACCTTACTTATGACCATACTTAATTATCATCTTACTTAATTAAACAAAATATATTAATTAATTTGATATAATTTTAATTTTTTGTGAGAATAGATCCTTACTACTCTGTTTCTGCCGAACTGATCTAATTTATTATACATTAAATTAAAGAATTTTTGTTAAATTTAGTTTAAAATGTTACATTACATTTAAGTATCTAAAAGTAATAATTTTTATTAAAAATATTTATTATATTAAAATTATAATAATATAATAAGTATTTTTTGATATTTATTAATTACTTAAACTCAAGTTTAAATATTCAGATTAATAACTTTTTAAATTAAATTCCTGAATGTTCATTGTCATAACCACTTGTTCAAGTGGCTTAGGAAAGAAAACGTGGCAAAGTGTGGTTTAAATTGTTAAGATGTCTAGAGTGCAAGAATTAATAAAATAGTTGAATATTTAAGGATCTTATTTGACTCTTATTAAGTATAGTGTTATGAAAATTATTTTGCTATAAGAGATAAACTTTCTAATTAAAAAGTTAGACTAAAATAAGTGCTTTTTTTCCTCCCCTGCCTACAGGGGTTTTTTCCTTGTAAAAGTATTGTTATTTTGTATTTTTTTATAAATTGAAAAAGAAAAAAATTTTTGGCCAATGAACATGTGCATAACATAAATCGAAAATTGCCAAAAGGAATCCTTTCTAAGATATAGGAAGAGTCACAATAAATCTGTGACACAGAATATCAAACTAAAACTGCTCTTTTTTTATTATGTTTCGACACTTAAAATGGGTCATCACCTACCCACTACAAATTGGAACATACCAAAAAAGTAAACAAAGTCATTCTCTCATGCCACAAAGCACGCAGTTCAAACCTATCAAATTAGTTTGCAAAATTCTGGGTCTCGAGTCAATTTATCTTGTTTATGAGTCTCTTTTACCCTCAATTTGAAATATAAATGTGATAAAATTGATCAAAATTAACTTTTTGGTGGTTTGTTGTTTCTTTGTCCCACTCTACCGAATAAACTAAAGCCGAAAAACAAGGGTGCTAGAGAATGAGAGGGGCGAGGATGTCATGAATAAACTTAACCGCCAAACATAACAGAAACCATGCTTTATTGAAACGCTAACTTTGCTTCTCTGTGAATATAAACGACAAAAGAATTTCTGTAGCGCAACCATAATTTTGATTTGACAGATTGTTAAGTATGTGCAAGAAATATTTTCTTATTTCTTACATGTCGTTTTCTATTAAACGTATGCTGATCTTTATTATCATTATCTCTCTCTATTATACATTAATCATGACCATTAAAATATTAAACTATATTGTTTAGGTAAAAGAAAGAAACCTTGTTTTATTTATAAGTAAAATAATCAATGAAATTAACATTTTTTAGTATTAGTGCAGTACATTTAATCATTTAACATTTTAAAAATATTAAAATATTCAATAATATTTTTATTAAAAATAATGCATTTATTATATTAAAATTATAAAAGTATGATAAATATTTATTTTTCATTAAAATTTATTACTTTTAATATATATTTTTTTAAAATTCATCAAAGAATTTACAAGAAAAATAATATTTATTTTGATAATCATTATGTCTTTTAAGAAAATAAAGATAACTTAGTATATAAAAAAATAAAATTAAAACACACATTTGATATTTATAACCAACACTTATTTATAAAATATTTATAGTGTCATAATGATAAAAATTAAAATATAACACAAAATTTTTAACTAAAAAATCTAATTTTTAAGAGAATGTATAAGCTAGACTAAATATTGATTAAAAAATAAAAAAAAAATGGAAAAATAGGTCTGTGAGCCGGTAAATTTACAGGATTAGCAGAATGCATTTATTAAAAAAGAAAAAAGAAAGGGAATTGGAGTGGTCGAAATGGTTGCTGTAATTGATGAAATTGGAGCTTCCATATTTGACTCAGAAACTGATAGGAGAGGGAGGGTTGGTGGACAACACTAGCGAACAAAACAGGTCAAGAGAGCCACCTCAATCACATTCCATTCTATGCCATGCCATGTTATGTTATGCTGGATTCATTGATCATGTGACTTAAGCCCATTGCTTCTCCTTCCCTTCCTACCAATTGCTTTTTTACTCAGTTAGCGTTACCCATATTTGAATTACAGCTAATTTGGTCTTTGATTGAATAATCACGCCAGCCACACAGAGAGAGAAGAGAGAGAGAGGGGGTAGATGGGAACTACTACTACAACAACAAGAGGTGTGGCCGAGGCAGGTACCACGTGCAGCTTTCATTGAAGAGACCCACCAGGTCCCAACCCAAACCAAACCTACTTCCTTCAACCCCATCCTCAACTATTTCTCCCTCTGCTTTTCCTTTCTGCATGATCACTCTTCACCTTCACCTTCACCTTCACCATTTACATGCACTCCACTCTTAATTCACCTTCATAAGCTCCCAATGCTTCTCCATCACTCCCTCACCTATTTCCTCTAAATAAATTTCAATTCTTCATTTCTTAGTCACTGTTTCCTGCCCAAGGTCTGTGTCTGACCATTTCTCCTCCTTCTTCTATGCTTCTTTACACTTATATATATTTTCTGTATACTCCTCAACTCCTTTTCTTTTTATTCAAAAAAGTTCGAAACTTAGTTGAATTCTATGTGATTTGTGAAGGAAAGGAAGGAACTTTTATTAGAAATGGTTTTAGTTTGGAAGCTCTAATAAATTTTTTTTTGTTTTTCTTTAGGTGGGTAGGTGACACTTTCTGCTGTGTGCTGAATCGGAAGGTCGAGGGGTAATTGGTTGAAAAGGTTGTGAGTTATCATTGGATACTAGCCCTTTTTTGTAAATGATGTTTTCTCCATACAATCTGAAAGAAAGAGACTAAACTAAACTACTAGACTGTGTTTGGATGTTAATATCTTGCAGTGAAAGCTGCAGGTTTCGAAGGATTGGGTTTGCAATAGAATTTTACTGCTGGAACCTTATTTGCCAAAATGAGTTAACCATATGAGCTACAGTTCTCAGTGCTTCCAAAATTGAAGTTTCTTACCAAGTCCTCTTGTGGTTGACTAAACAGAACCTTGCATTTTTTTGTTTATTTGTCCATTTTCTTTTACTTGATGCTGATCTTGCCAGGAGAAGTTAAGATGGATCTTGAATTGCTTAATTATATGCTTTATATTGAGTTTCATCTACAAAAGAAGCTTGATGGATAATTTTTCAGAAAGTTTCCAGGATTTTATCAGTGAATAAGAAATATAAATTGAAATTTTTTTCCCTGAATCTTAATTATTACTTGAGTTTCATATATCTTGAACTGCTGGTAATCTTTTTTTTCAATTGTGCAGTACACAGGAGAGACATTAAAGGAGAAGAAGAATGGCTGAGCTTGGTCGTGGGAATGGATACATAAATGGTGTTCTACCAAATAGGCACCCTGCTACAATATCTGAAGTAGATGAATTCTGCAACGCCCTTGGTGGGAACAGGCCAATTCATAGCATATTAATCGCAAACAATGGAATGGCAGCAGTCAAGTTTATACGCAGCGTTAGGAGCTGGGCCTATGAGGCCTTTGGCACAGAGAAAGCTATCTTATTGGTTGCCATGGCTACACCAGAGGACATGAGAATCAATGCAGAACATATCAGAATAGCTGATCAGTTTGTGGAAGTACCTGGTGGGACCAATAACAATAACTATGCGAATGTGCAGCTTATTCTAGAGGTGTGTGGTTTTGACTTCATGAGACTTTGTACTTCAAGTAGATGTCAGAGCAGATTTTGTTTAGAAAAGTAGATAGTGGCAAAGTACAGAAGGCCACTTGTCCTTGGAAATGTTTATTTACATTTTTCTGCCTTTTATAGAAGTTATTGATTTGAATGTTGTCATCAAGGAAACATACTTTTAGACTTTTAAGCAAAAATGTAACACATATCCTGTTAACTAAATATCTTTCTTGTTGCCTTTTGTTCAATACAACTTATTCTTATTGTTTAGTGATTTCTGTGCTTATGTAGTTATGACACTTTTTGATCTATACAACTTTTATATTGTGCTTACTGGCATGCAATGTACTTCCCAGATGGCCGAGATAACTCACGTTGATGCTGTGTGGCCTGGTTGGGGTCACGCATCAGAAAATCCTGAGCTTCCAGATGCATTAAAAGCAAAAGGAATTGTATTTCTTGGTCCTCCTGCTATATCTATGGCTGCGTTGGGAGATAAAATTGGTTCATCATTGATTGCTCAGGCAGCTGAAGTGCCAACCCTTCCATGGAGCGGTTCTCATGTAATTTTCAATCTCCCATTGTAGTGCATTTCTTTTGAAGGGATGCCCATTTGTGACATTGAAGTTTCTTCTTGCAGGTGAAAATTCCGCCTGAAAGTTCTTTGATCACTATTCCCAATGAAATTTATCGCGAAGCATGTGTTTATACAACAGAAGAAGCAATTGCAAGCTGTCAAGTTGTAGGATACCCTGCAATGATCAAGGCATCTTGGGGTGGTGGTGGTAAAGGCATAAGAAAGGTATGCTTCTTGCATGATCAATACTATAGCATTTAGTAAATCTTATAGAATTCATGCTGTTAATCTTGTAAGATAATTTTGTCTTCCAGGAGTATATAAATTATTTTCAAATAGAAAACTGCATAAAAACTTATAATAATGAGAAGATTTATGTGCATCTTATTTTGGCATTATTTGTTTGGCAAAGCTTAGAAACTAAAAGGTATATGGATACTTTTTAGGTTCATAATGATGATGAGGTAAGAGCATTGTTCAAGCAAGTTCAAGGTGAAGTTCCAGGCTCACCTATATTTATAATGAAGGTTGCGTCCCAGGTTAGATAATTCACTGAACTTTGATCTGAATGAGCATGATTTTTTGAGTCTTGCTTGTATTCTGATGATCTGTTTTGTTTCTAAGTAGAGCCGGCATCTAGAGGTTCAGTTACTTTGTGATCAGTACGGAAATGTTGCAGCTTTGCATAGTCGTGATTGCAGTGTTCAAAGAAGGCATCAAAAGGTATGGAATTTTTTGTTGCTGCACCAGATTACCATGGTGAAATGAATCTTACAAATGGCCTAATGAATCATCTGTATCTCAGATCATCGAGGAGGGTCCTATTACTGTAGCACCCCCAGAAACAGTGAAACAACTCGAACAGGCAGCTAGAAGATTGGCTAAATCTGTAAATTATGTTGGGGCAGCTACTGTTGAGTATCTTTATAGCATGGAAACTGGCGAGTACTACTTTTTAGAATTAAACCCCCGGCTACAGGTATGTTTTGGCTCACATCATAATTATTTGTTTCACTCTCATGACTTGACTAATTCGCCTTTTGACCTTGGTTCTCCATTTGATCATGATTAATATGTCAATATCTTCTTCTAAAAAAGCATAATGCTGCTTTGTTATTCTGCTTAGAATTTTTTGGTAACCGGCATTTTAGGCTAGTTGTTAAGATTGGAAAACGCTTCTGTAAATTTTTTGAGATTTTATATGGCAGTGAGTAATGCGTGAAATTAGTTCTTCCTATCTTCCATACCCTGTTATGTTTTTTTTATGTTATTATTTTTTCTTTTTTTTTTCCAACCATTGTCATTGATTGTTTTGCAATTAATTCTTATATAGGTTGAGCATCCTGTTACTGAGTGGATAGCAGAGATAAATCTGCCAGCAGCACAAGTTGCCATTGGGATGGGTATCCCTCTTTGGCAAATTCCTGGTACAACTTCAGACATATTCATTGCTATTATTTACTTTCTTCTTGTTTGCTAAGTGATTTGATTTCTCACATCTATTTTGGGTGCCTCACTTAACAGAGATAAGGCGTTTCTATGGGGTGGAACATGGTGGGGGCAATGATGCATGGAAGAAAACATCAGTTTTAGCTACTCCTTTTGATTTTGACAAAGCAGAATCTACGAGGCCAAAAGGTCATTGTGTGGCTGTGCGTGTGACAAGTGAGGACCCCGATGATGGTTTTAAGCCTACAAGTGGCAAAGTGCAGGTTAATCACAATCTCCAACAACAATATCTTCTTTTACTTCATTCATCCCTTAACTTGTACTGAGTTTAAGTATCTGTACAGGAGCTCAGCTTTAAAAGCAAGCCAAATGTGTGGGCATACTTCTCTGTTAAGGTAAGTATTCTGTTTCTTTATTTGTAGGTGTAACTCAAATGTTGGGGTGCTAAATTTTGTTGGATTATATGTTTGCAGTCTGGAGGAGGAATTCACGAATTCTCAGATTCCCAGTTTGGTGAGTAGTAACTATTAATTAATTAAACAAATTAACAAATTAGCTTTATTTTTCTTCAAATGCTCAATGTTGTGAACTTCAATGTTGATATATTAATGTATAGATCTTTTTTTGTTCATTTTAAACTTATGCATCTTCTTTTGATGCATAATGAGCAATACACCTTCCCTTGTTTTGAAAAATATGGGTAATGTTGGAATACATAACCTTATTAGTAGAGCAAGAGCTGAGATGTAAAGTTGGGTTTGGTGGGAGGTTGAAAAAATGGAAATTTAAATGCGTGTCAGTTGGTAAAACCTAATTAATATGAGATATAATAAATGCGGGTGCTTTATGTCTATATGACTAGCTGATTTGCACATACATGTGGGTGCGTGCACATTTTGTTGATAATAGTAATCAATAAGTTTTTCCCCCTTTTGTGGCATAATTTTTCCTAGCATGCAGTGGCTGTGTAATTGACAGCTGATATTCATCTCATTTTTGTGTTGGTTGTCATACTCATTACTTTATTAGTGTTGAAATGTTTCATTAGAAGGGATATTAGAAGGACTATAAATCTCCAGGAGGTATATAGGGATCTCTATAGAAAAAAAAAAAAAACAACATGAATGGCATTTCACAGGTTGCTGGGGTGGAGAAGGAGAAAGGTTATGTCAATGGGGAGCTAGGGAATAGGGATGTTTATTATTCTGAGCAAAGAAGCAAAAATATCTCATCCAATCAAGGCTTTCTCACAATTAATGAGAATTTCTGATAACGATTTAAAATGTTGATTCATCTGTTTGGTAATTTATTTACAAGAGATTGGTGAACTTTGAACTGTTGGGTATCAATTCTCCATAACATTATTTTCTTTCTTGTTCGTACATTCCTGTATTTACATAATACCCATACTATCTATAATTTACCTTATACTAACTTCTAATATCCTATATTTTTCCTCAGGGCATGTTTTTGCTTTTGGAGAGTCTAGGGCGTTAGCAATTGCGAATATGGTTCTGGGGCTGAAGGAGATTCAAATTCGTGGAGAAATCCGTACCAATGTTGATTACACCATTGATCTTCTAAATGTAAATTACTCACACAATGACAGATTATTTTATAAGAAGTGTTTAAAATGCTGAAGTGACATTAGTACAATATTTGATCTCAGGCTTCAGACTACAGAGAAAATAAAATTCACACAGGATGGCTGGACAGTAGAATTGCAATGCGGGTTAGAGCAGAGAGGCCTCCCTGGTATCTTTCTGTTGTTGGAGGGGCACTCTATGTAAGCAAACTTATTTTTATATCCTCTTCTCTTTGAGTTTTGTTAGTTTCATATTGTGGACTTCATGATCTGTGCTTCTTCCAATTAATACAGAAAGCTTCTGCTAGCAGTGCAGCTTTGGTTTCAGACTATGTTGGCTATCTTGAAAAGGGACAAATCCCTCCCAAGGTATTATGTTTAAATGGGAGGAACTTATAGTTCATAATGCATTTAAATCCTTTCTTATTTTCTAGCAATGCTAATTTTAGTTAATAATTATGACAGCACATATCTCTTGTCCATTCTCAAGAGTCCTTGAACATTGAAGGAAGCAAATATACGGTAATTATCGTTATAAATGTCAATTTGATGGACATCTTCTGTTGCCTGCTAACCTTTTTTGAGACTTATGCCATCATAGACAATAATCAATATGTGTAATTCATATCTTGTAAAACAATATTTAGATTGACATGATACGAGGTGGACCTGGAAGTTATAGATTGAGAATGAATCAATCAGAGATAGAAGCAGAGATACATACTTTACGTGATGGAGGTTTGCTGATGCAGGCAAGTATTTGTTCTCTGAGCTACCTATGAATGTGTGTTTTTGTAGTTCTCCCCATTAAAAAGCTATCAAGTCAAATTAATACTATTCCATGGTTTGTGAACATTGTACATTACTATTTCATTCATAATTAGAAATTTTTTTGTTATAATTTCTTTTGTATGGACATAAAATTATTGCTGATCTGGCTTCTATATGCTGCATCTATAACTGGCCTTTGATTCTATATCTGGTTCTCAAGTTCTTAACTGGTAGTTTTGACTTGTTACAGTTGGATGGAAACAGTCATGTAATATATGCAGAGGAAGAAGCAGCTGGAACTCGCCTTCTAATAGATGGAAGGACTTGCTTGCTTCAGGTGAAATGAGTTCATTTTTACCTTAAGAATTCTTTTTCTTTTGTGGTTTAGGTAATTTCTAAACCTCTTTTTTTATATGCAGAATGATCATGATCCATCCAAATTAGTTGCAGAGACGCCATGCAAGCTTCTGAGATATTTGGTTGTGGATGACAGTCATATTGATGCTGACACACCATATGCTGAAGTTGAGGTCATGAAGATGTGCATGCCTCTTCTTTCACCTGCTTCTGGGATTATTCATTTCAAAATGTCTGAAGGTCAAGCAATGCAGGTATAGTATTCTACATAGGGAGTATAAGTGCTCAAATTGAAAGAGAGTATAAGAAAGAATCATCTTTTGCAGGCTGGTGAACTCATAGCAAGGCTTGATCTAGATGACCCTTCAGCTGTAAGAAAGGCAGAACCGTTTAATGGGAGCTTCCCAGTCCTGGGCCCTCCTACTGCAATTTCTGGTAAAGTTCATCAGAAATGCGCTGCAAACTTAAATGCTGCACGGATGATTCTAGCTGGTTATGAGCACAATATTGATGAAGTGAGTAAATTCTTCACCTTGTTCCATTTACACTATAATTTGACAGTATTTGTAGACAATTATGATTCATCTATTATGGATAGGAGATGTTTATATTATGTTATTATTTTGAGACTTGTGTGCTTGTCTTATTAACAAGCTAGACATCTATCTTAGGTTGTGCAAAGTTTGCTCATTTGCCTTGATAGTCCTGAATTGCCTTTCCTTCAATGGCAAGAGTGCTTGGCAGTTCTGGCGACCCGTCTTCCCAAAGATCTGAAAAATGAGGTAAGGAGTTTGAGAGGATTTGACCTGGCCAGTTTTTTTCTCTGGTTTAATATCTAAAACATGATCTGACCTGGCCCTAAACTATGTGGTTTTTCAGTTGGAATCAAAATATAAGGAGTTCGAGAGGATTTCAAACTCCCAAATTGTTGATTTCCCTGCTAAGTTATTGAAGGGAATTCTTGAAGTGAGTTGCTTTGCCTGAATTGCTCATAATGATGTTTTCCATTCTAATGTGAATATTTATGAGGTGTGTTTTACACTGAAGGCTCATCTTTCCTCGTGTCCTGATAAAGAAAAAGGAGCCCAAGAGAGACTAGTTGAACCTCTACTGAGTCTTGTTAAGTCTTATGAGGGTGGAAGAGAGAGCCATGCCCATATAATTGTTCAATCCCTTTTTGAAGAGTATCTTTTTGTTGAAGAACTATTTAGTGATAATATACAGGTTAGTATGATTATTCAATTGCTTGTATTGTACTAATATTATGTGAGCAATTTAATCTGTTATGACCTTATGACTCCAACCCACGTAGTTTTTTTCTGGGTGATGTTAAAAGAATCTGATTCGTTGTTTTTCTGTATTATTGTTTTAAGTTTTTACAAGATTTTAATTGATAATTATATGCTCTTTCTTTATCTAAATCAAAACTGTTTCATTTATTGCCTTGGATTGCTGCATATAAAACTAGTCAACACATTTTAGTTTTCTTTATTTGCTCGTTCATTCCAATGTACAAATGTCTGGTTTATCATAGAACAAAATCTAATTTAGGAACTTATTAATGCTTTTTTTGAATGAGGATTGAAATAGGAAGAAATGAAATGAGAAGGAAAGAAATAAGATGTTATTAAAAAGAAAATAGATTAGAAATGATGTATTGTTTGGATGGGTTAAAATAAGAAGGAAAGAAGTAAAAATTTTCTCTTCACTTATTTGGATGAGTGGAAAAGAGGTGAAAATAAATAAATAAATAAATGATAAAAAAAAATTATAATACTTAAAGAAATTTTTTAGTTTTCTTTATTATTTTTCATATAAAATTATTTATTATGCTTAAAAAAGAAAAGGGTTTCCCCTTTCACGTTTATTTTGGGGGAAGGGGGGAGAATGGTTTTTGCATTGGGTTTCACATGATATTTCCATCCTTCACGTGTTTCCGCATCCATCCAAAAAACAGAAATAGCATCTCCTTATTTACTTCTCCTATGCCATTCCTTCACATTCATCCCAAACAAACATAGTACCTCTTCTGATAGATGTTTTCTTTATCTTTTAGTTTTCCAGAATATTCATATTCCTTTCTCTTGATCCAGGCTGATGTGATTGAACGTCTGCGGCTACAATACAAGAAAGATTTATTGAGGATTGTAGATATAGTGCTCTCTCATCAGGTATAAACTTTTATAACATGCTCAGCTAGAGTGTTCTGCTTCCTTGATGTCTTATACTGCAATTATGTTAACTGCATTTCGTTGGTTTCAGGGTGTCAAGAGTAAAAATAAGCTGATACTGCGACTAATGGATAAATTGGTGTACCCCAACCCAGCTGCCTATAGGGATCAGTTAATCCGTTTTTCTGTTCTCAACCATACAAGTTATTCTGAGGTTGGAAATTACCTTAAGAGATTCTGACCAAGATGAAAAATATAGTTCTATGTTGTTCATCATGTTATATTTTTAGGACTCATTGCATCTCTTGTACTGGGAGAGCATTGTGAATATATATCCTTCAATTATCTACTTTTCTGTTTCATTTTTGTGGATGATACTTTTAATTTCTTTGGAACATTTTGAGCAAAATCCTGATTTGTAATTTCATGATACAGTTGGCTCTTAAGGCAAGTCAACTACTGGAACAAACTAAATTGAGTGAACTTCGATCCAGCATTGCTAGAAGTCTTTCTGAACTAGAGATGTTCACTGAGGATGGTGAAAATATTGATACTCCTAAGAGAAAGAGTGCCATTAATGACCGAATGGAGGACCTTGTGAGTGCTCCTTTGGCAGTTGAAGATGCCCTTGTGGGTTTATTTGATCACAGCGATCATACCCTTCAAAGGAGAGTTGTAGAAACTTACATACGCAGGCTCTACCAGGTATATGCTTTATGACTAATTTCACTATTATTATTTTGACTTAATTATATTCTTGGTTCCTATAAATATTGAATATTTTGTGATAAATTCTTATAAAATTTTTCGTTACGATTTAGCCCCTAAAATGTTAAAAAGTTAGAATTTAGTCTCTGCCATCAACTCTCCTCTGTTTAATGCTGGGTTGATAGACAGAAAACCAATTCAGCACCGACACATGACATGCTACGTCATTTATTTTATAATTTTTTATTATTTAAAATAAATATTTGCAAAAAAAATTTTAAACATATTTTATATATTTGCAAAAAAGCTTTCTTCTTCCTCTCCAACTCCTCTCCTCAGCAATAGGGGTAGTCCCACCTCCCCCCACATTCAACCTTCAACCTCAACCTCCACTCTCACCCCTTTCTCCTAACCCCACCCTTTTTTCCTCCTCCACTCTCACTTCCACCCCGTCCTCTTCCCCCACTTCATTCCAATCTTCTCCGGCACCTATTTCTCACTCTTACCCTTTTACTACCCCACCATCTCGCACCCCTTCCATCTCTTTCTTCACTATCCACCTGAACTCTAACTTCCACATCTTTTTCGCTACCCACACTCCTGTTACCAAATCCCAAACCCTCATCACATCTTAATTTCAACCCCAACTCCTGTACCCCTCCCTTCTCTCTCTCCACTACCCATCCTAACTTCAACCTTCGCACCTCTCTCACTACCCACACCTCCCGTTACCAAGCCCCAACCTTTACCCATATCTTAATTTCAACTCCAATTCCAAATCTCTTATTCTTCCCATCTCCTCCTTTAATACCCACCCTAACTTCAATATCCACACTCCTCCCATCACCCAACTCCAACTTTAACTCTCACACCTCTCCCGCTACCTAAATCCTAATTCTAACCTTAGAGGAAAAAACATAACATTTTTTTATATGCAAAATTTTAAAACTTTAACTTTTCTCTTTTCTTTTTGAGTAAATAATTTCGAATGTTGGTAAGATGCAGAAGTCCTGTTGAATCCAACACAATCTTAATGAACATAAAAGTGCAATATATTAATAATAAGTATTGTGAGAAGGTGAGAATTGGAGTTATAATTTGGTGGGACGATGGGAGTGAGATAGCAGGGTGGGATAGCGATTTAGGGGAGGGGGAAAGATTGCAGTTTAAGGAAAAGGATGGAAGAAATAGAAATGTGGGAAAGGAGAAGGGGAAAGGAAGAGGGTAGGAGTGAGAACGGAGGTGTGGGGAGGGAGAGGGGTGGAGCAGCAGAAAGTAGAAGGGGAAGAAGTTGGGTTTATTTATAATTTATATAAAATATGTTCAGGGATTAATTTGTAAATATTAATTTTAATTAATAAAAAATTAAAAATTTAATTGACGTGACAAACCACGTGGTGCCACGTGACAATACTGAGCTAACTTTTCGTCTGTAAGCTTAGCACTTAACAGAGAAGAGTTAACAGTATAGACTAAATCTTAACTTTTTAACATTTTAGGAATTAAATTTTAACAAAAAATTTTATAAGAACTTATCATAAACTACTTAATATTTATAGAGACCAAAAACATAATTAAGCCTATTATTTTTTTTTTTTTTTTTTGCTTTTCTTTGTGTTTTGTCTTGCCTTAGGGGGGGGTGGGTGGTGAAAGGAATTATCACATCCTTTTCTAACTTTTAATATTTGCTATCAGCCATATCTTGTCAAAGGGAGTGTCAGGATGCAGTGGCACAGATCTGGTCTTATTGCTACATGGGAGTTCTATGATGAGTACATTGACAGGAAGAATGGGGTTGAAGACCAAGTTTCAAATAAAATGGCAGCAGAGAAACATAGTGAGAAGAAGTGGGGAGTGATGGTTATAATTAAATCTCTTCAATTTTTGTCTGCAATTATCAGTGCTGCATTAAGGGAGGCAACCAATAACCTTCATGAAGCACTTACAAGTGGTTCTGTTGAACAAATTAACCATGGTAATATGATGCATATTGGATTAGTGGGCATCAACAACCAGATGAGTTTACTGCAAGATAGGTATTGTTTCAGCAACTCCTCATACTATTTTGAACCTTTTTTATTTTTTCAATTTGTTGAAACATCGAAGGTTGTATAGCTTACATTTTGTTTGAGATTAATTTTGGTTCCAGTCTTTTAGCAATAAAGGTTTCTTATATCCTGTTGGTTTGACAATTGGGATCAGTACAGGACTAATATTGTTTTGTTGAGCTACTGATCTGAACCTCCTTTGTCTTGACAAACAACATCTGGTATTTTGCAGTGGTGACGAGGATCAGGCTCAAGAAAGAATCAATAAGTTAGCCAAAATACTCAAAGAGCAGGAAGTAGGCTCTACTATACGAGCAGCAGGTGTTGGAGTAATTAGCTGTATCATACAAAGGGATGAAGGACGTGCCCCAATGAGGCACTCCTTTCACTGGTCAGCAGAAAAGCTGCATTATGAGGAGCAACCTCTGTTGCGTCATCTGGAACCTCCGCTATCCATTTATCTTGAATTGGTTAGTTGTTTCATGGTTCAAGTCTCTTGTTTTACTTTGATAGGTGGGAAAGAAGCAAATTCCACTAGTATTCTTGATCTCAAACTCATAACATTTGTCGGATTATAGGACAAACTTAAAGGCTATGAAAATATACGTTATACCCCATCTCGTGATCGTCAATGGCACCTGTACACAGTTGTGGATCATAAGCCAATACCAATTCAAAGAATGTTTCTTCGAACACTTTTAAGACAGCCCTCCTCAAATGAAGGATTCTCTTCGTATCAAAGGCTGGATGCAGAAACATCTCGTACTGAATTGGCTATGTCCTTCACTTCAAGGAGCATTTTTAGGTCCTTGAAAGCTGCAATGGATGAGTTGGAACTTAATGCACACAATGCCAATATCAAATCTGAACATGCTCATATGTACCTCTATATCATACGCGAGCAACAAATAGATGATCTCGTGCCTTATCCCAAGTAATTATGGCTACAAATTTGTCCACATATATTCTTTTAGCATATGATAAATAAGCTTTTATCTATGTCTTACATTTTGGATATTAACGACAGGAGGATTAACGTAGATGCTGGGCAAGAAGAAACAACAGTTGAAGCAATCTTGGAACAACTGGCACAGGAAATCCATTCATTTGTTGGTGTAAGAATGCATAGATTGGGGGTTCTTGTGTGGGAAGTCAAGCTCTGGATGGCAGCTTGTGGACAGGCAAATGGTGCTTGGAGGGTCATTGTAAACAATGTGACTGGTCATACATGCACTGTACATGTAAGTCATTATTTACTTAAAAAATTTGAAGGAAATCTTTCCTGCATGCCCCAACTTTTCCATTCAGCTTGTCAATTCAACTTTCTTTTGACAAGGAAAGTAGGTGAGCCCCTTGTCAATTCAATAATGAATACAACTGACAGCTGACAAGGAGCATTTTTTTAAATATTTGATAGAGAAATGATTATTAACATCAAGTGCTAATTCTGTAGTCCATACCTTAATATATTATCTTCTCTTGATATCTGAAAAATTGCTCAGTATTCACCATGAAACTGACCAAATATGCAAGGACAGGGTAATCTTCAGCATTTACTGTTGAACAACATATTATCATTATTAGCTATATCTCACTTTCTGTATTTAAAGGATTATTAATGGAAGTTATTTGTAAATATTGATGTGATTCTTAATTTGTATAATTTCAGATATATCGAGAAATGGAGAATTCCAACACTCATAAAGTGGAATATAGTTCAGTCACAGTAAAGGGTCCACTGCATGGTGTACCTGTGAATGAAAATTATCAACCTTTGGGGGTTATTGATCGAAAACGTCTTTCAGCAAGAAAGAACAGCACCACGTACTGCTATGATTTTCCCCTTGTAAGTGCTATTTAGTGGATTTATTTGAAATATAGGCTCCTTGTCTCTGCATGTTTGTATGGGGCATGTATGTGTGTGAGTACCCCTTTTTTGTAAAGATTGGATAACAAGATAAGTCAAACTATATCTTCTGAGTTGAAATGCTTCTTGCAGGCATTTGAAACAGCCTTGGAACAGTCATGGGCATTCCAACAGCCAGGATTTCAACAAGCCAAGGATAAAAATCTTCTAAAGGTAACAGAGCTTAAATTTGCTGACAAAGAAGGAAGCTGGGGTACTCCTCTTGTTCCTGTGGAGCGTCTCCCTGGAATCAATGATGTTGGTATGGTAGCCTGGTTTATGGAAATGTGCACCCCTGAGTTCCCATCTGGAAGGACAATATTGGTTGTTGCAAATGATGTGACCTTCAAGGCTGGTTCTTTTGGCCCAAGAGAGGATGCATTCTTTCGTGCAGTAACTGATCTTGCATGTGCTAAAAAACTGCCTTTGATTTATTTAGCAGCAAATTCTGGTGCCCGATTAGGTGTAGCTGAGGAGGTCAAAGCATGTTTCAGAGTTGGTTGGTCTGAGGAATCTAATCCTGAACATGGCTTTCAGTATGTATATTTAACACCTGAGGATTATGCTCGAATTGGATCATCGGTCATAGCACATGAATTGAAGCTTGAGAGTGGAGAAACCAGATGGGTTATAGATACCATTGTTGGCAAGGAGGATGGCCTTGGAGTTGAAAACTTGAGTGGCAGTGGGGCCATTGCTGGTGCTTATTCAAGGGCATACAAGGAAACTTTTACATTGACATATGTGACTGGCAGAACGGTTGGCATAGGTGCTTATCTTGCTAGACTTGGGATGAGATGCATTCAGAGGCTTGATCAGCCCATAATTCTTACTGGTTTTTCAGCATTAAACAAACTTCTTGGTCGAGAGGTATACAGCTCTCACATGCAACTTGGTGGACCTAAAATCATGGCAACTAATGGAGTTGTTCATCTTACAGTTTCTGATGACCTTGAAGGTGTTTTTTCCATTTTGAAGTGGCTTAGCTACATTCCTTCTCATGTGGGTGGTATGCTTCCCATTGTAAAGCCCCTTGATCCTCCAGAAAGACCAGTAGAGTATTTTCCAGAAAACTCGTGTGATCCACGTGCTGCTATTTCTGGAACTCTGGACAGTAATGGAAAATGGCTGGGGGGCATTTTTGACAAGGATAGCTTTGTAGAGACACTAGAAGGATGGGCAAGGACAGTTGTTACAGGAAGGGCAAAGCTTGGAGGAATCCCTGTGGGAATTGTTGCTGTAGAAACACAGACTGTAATGCAAATAATACCTGCTGATCCAGGCCAGCTTGATTCTCATGAGAGGGTTGTTCCTCAAGCTGGGCAAGTGTGGTTCCCTGATTCTGCAACCAAAACAGCCCAAGCAATATTGGATTTCAACAGAGAAGAGCTCCCACTTTTCATTCTTGCAAACTGGAGAGGCTTTTCAGGTGGGCAAAGGGATCTTTTTGAAGGAATTCTTCAGGCTGGTTCAACTATTGTGGAAAACCTTAGAACATACAAGCAGCCCATATTTGTATACATCCCAATGATGGGAGAACTCCGTGGTGGGGCGTGGGTTGTTGTTGACAGTAGAATCAATTCAGACCACATTGAAATGTATGCCGATCGAACAGCTAAAGGTAATGTCCTTGAGCCTGAAGGAATGATTGAGATCAAATTTAGAACAAAAGAATTGTTGGAGTGTATGGGTAGACTTGATCAACAGTTGATAACTCTGAAGGCAAAATATCAGGAAGCCAAGAGTAACAGGGACCTTGAGACCTCTGAATCCCTACAGCAGCAGATTAAATCCCGTGAGAAACAGCTTTTGCCTGTGTATACCCAGATAGCTACCAAATTTGCTGAACTGCATGATACTTCCTTAAGAATGGCTGCAAAGGGTGTAATTAGAGAAGTTCTGGACTGGGGTAATTCCCGTGCTGTCTTATACCTGAGACTGCACAGGAGAATTGGTGAGCAGTCGCTGATCAACTGTGTGAGAGATGCTGCTGGTGACCATCTGTCACATTTATCTGCTTTGAACTTGCTCAAAGACTGGTATTTAAATTCTGATATTGCCAAAGGTAGAAAAGATGCTTGGTTGGATGATGAAGCCTTCTTCAGGTGGAAGGATAATCCTGCAAATTACGAGAATAAACTAAAGGAACTACGTGTCCAGAAAGTGTTGTTTCAATTGACAAATATTGGGGACTCAGTTCAAGATTTGCAAGCTCTACCTCAAGGTCTTGCTGGCCTTTTAAGCAAGGTAAAAGACTGGAACTTTTCATTTCATTATTTATGTTGTTTTTATATGGTTCCTTTTAAATATTTAATTTTTATTATTTGCTTCATCATATCTTGGAAATTATGGTGCAGTTGGAGCCATCAAATCGTGTGAAGTTGACTGATGAACTACGCAAAGTTCTTGTTTAGGAGACAATACATGCTCTTGTTATGCTTATGATTGAGTCATCAAGAATCATTTGAGTCATTGAGGGGTGGGCATATAAATGTACCCATTTTCGTTGTGTCGAATCCCTTAGCGAAGGGTAAGCTGGTAGCAGCATCCCTCAAAAGGATACTCTTACTTGAGGGATCCGTTGCTTCAAGGTGTAAATGAGTTGAGTCTTGGATATATCCTTAATTATGCAGGTTGAGGATCACAACCAGCATCTCCATGTTCCGTCTATTTATTTGCTGGTTGATTGATTCTTTTTATATATTTGAATAAATATGCAATAATGTGTAACATTGATTTTCTCTGCATAACAAAGTTTTGGGTAGTCGATATATGCTTTCCATCAGGTTTTAAATCTCCATTGGCAGTAGATTCAGGGAAAATATTAATCAAACTATCAAGCTTGCCAACAATTTTTGTTTAAAATACCTTGTAATCGATTTGACGTATGCAATTGGAATTGTAGTTCAAAATTCATTTTAATTGTCAAAATTAAACTGCAAAATTAAAATTGGTTTAGGTTGTAACTTTTATGTTTTGTGTTGTGTAAAGAATTGGAGTGTAAAGCTATAATTTTAAGTTGAAGTATAATTCTGTTGTTTAGATGTAAGAACTAGAATTTGAAAATAAAATTATTTAATACTCATTTTTAAAATTTAAATAATCTGTTAAAGTAAAGAAAAAATATTAAATAAATTCCTAAAGATGATAAAAGTAAATAGTTAATAATTTTTTAAGCAGCAGTGCCTTTTTTTTCATTTTTACTTTGTCATAAAGTCTTCATGTCATGTCCTGAATTTTCATTAAAAAATTAGATGAAACACATTGTATCCTTTATTGCTACAGCCACCTCCATTCTCATACTGTTCTTCGGGTGAACCTGACGTCAATTTCCATGGTATCCTAATGACTTCGGTACCAAAAACTTTATTTGAATCAGCCAGAATATCACTTTCTACCCCATATTTCACATTCATTTGAACCGTTGATATAAAAATCAATTCAACAATGATCCCGGGCGAAAAGAAAAGAGAGGGTCAGGCGATAATAATAGTAAAATATACAACAAAACTGATCACCACGGCTTTAAATCCATGGAAAAGAGATTCAGTGACCAAGACAGAAATTAGGATCCTATATATGATTGAAATGATGTAAACGAAACAACACTAAAAATCGCCAAGCACATATAGGGAGCCTTTCTATTTACCAATACAGAACTTGCCAAATATATTTGACAAAACTTCCTCCGATATATCTTCTCCACTTATCTGTCCAAGGGACAATGCAGCATCCCTCAAATCAATTGTCCAAAAATCCAGAGGTAGTTCCTCCTTTATTGATGACAGTAACCTTGTAAGTGCTTCTTTGGTCCGAACAAGTTGTTCACATTGTCTCTGAATCATCGTTATATCAGCAAGCATAATCAAGACTGCCCCCTAAAAAAGTTTTTTTCTACTTTTCTGTCGTGTGTGTGCATATGCGAGCCTTATGCCGTGTAAGAAGTAATGCAGTAAGATACCAACGCTTGGGCTATTGCTTGGTTGAAGTGAAAATGGAGTAAAAGAAAATAGAAATGTATATAGACTTTGTAGTATCTAATTACATTTTTATTTCCATCTACCCATTTTCAACGTAACTAAGCATAATCTTAATGTTTACCTCTAGTTCAAGTTTACCAAATAAAGATACATGGTTTCAACAGTTTATTGACTCCTTCCCTCGCATTTAGAAAGGTTGAGAATTGACGCTAAGATTTTGAGAGAGAAAAGGAAAGCCAAAATGATAGCTTACCTGATTTACGGTCCATCTGCGACCCCCAGCAGGAATGCCTTCAAGACCCACTATCTCTAATACTGCCCTCTCTAAGTCTTGTAATCCTTGACCAGTAACAGCACACGTAAACACATGTTTACTGAAAAATTTATGATTGTGACAACCATTGACCCATTCAGTATCGTCACGAGGTTTACAATCTATCTTGTTTACCACAAGGATTACTGGGGTCGATGAAACAGTTGATCCCTGTTTTGACAGCAAAAAGATTAAAGAAATATTGTAAACTAATATGTATATTTTCTCACAGCATGGTAGAATATAATACTAGGTACCGAGCTAATATTGAAGGGAAGATTTCAGGTGTCATGTAATATTTATATTTAAGATTCTTATCCTGTAAGATGTCAATTGTTTTGGGGGTAACTACAGGATCTAAATGGCCTTTCTGGAGACTTTGTTTTGAAGACCTATGTTGTTGATCCCATCTAGCAGGAAAAGGCTTTTATTCCTGTTGTGGTAACTATAGGATGCCAATATTTTTAAGGTCGCGTGCCAATTTATCAAGTGATACGATAAATAAAGAAAGATATACCTGCAGTAAACTATCTAGTTTTGTACTGCCCAGTCAGTACCAATATCTTGATATTAGCTTTTTCTCACAAATGTAAAATGATGAAAATATTTCTCCATCAAATAAAAGGATTACATTTCTATATAAATCAAAATAATATTAAATATCATGAATAGATAAGAAGAAAAGGGAGAAAAAGAATTATGTGGTCAAACCTTAGTAGATTGAATCCTTTCAAGAAGTTTGGTGTCTTCAGAAGTCCACCCTTCAACAGCACTCACAGTCATGATAATTAAATCAGCACCCCTAGCAACTGTTTCAGATCGCTCAACACCTAGTGTGAAAATAGAAATATAAATCAGTAATGAGATTAAAGTAGCAAAACACCGATATGCATGCAACAAGATACATATAAATATCGCCAAGTCATATCAGGCAAAGCCTCTAATTCTATATCTAATTGACTTCACTAGATTTTATGGATGTTCCATGTAAATTTCACTTCAAACAAGTGATAATTATACGCGAGCCTATGTGAAAATTTTATGTTGCTAATGATATTCGTTAATTTAAATTTAAAAGAAAATGCATTCAATCAAATTCAAGAAATCATAAAAGACTGAATCGCGATGTGAAATGATAATAAAAAACGCATTCAAACAAGTTGCAGACACTATAAATAACATCACATTTGACGGGACACCTATTTATCTTTATAGCCTACAGCCTAAGTACAGAGAAGTGAAGGATGGTGCAACAATATATATATATATACATGTCCGAAAGTTAAAGGAGACAAAAAACGAAGCCTCACCAATCTTTTCCACAATGTCATCAGTGTCCCTGATGCCTGCAGTATCAAGAAGGGTTATAGGAATGCCACTGACACTGATACTTGCTTCAATCACATCACGAGTGGTTCCAGCAATTTCAGTAACTATTGCCCTCTCACTCTGCATGCTACAAGAAGACCATGCTCAATAAGTTACACAATCACAAAGTTTTATTTACGTATGTATTCTGCCCCATAAATTTAAATTACGCTCAAGGTTAATATCTACAGAAAAGATTCAGTAAATGGATAAAATATCAAGTTAAATTATCGAAAAAGTAAAATGACCATGACATACTTTGCTCCATGCATTAAGAAGGCTTGACTTGCCAACATTTGGGCGCCCAACAATTGCTATCTGCAAGAGTTTTAAATCGAGATCAATAATAATAGGAAAAGCAACAACAGTCATCACGAAATTCACATAAAAATAGTACCACATATAAAACATTTATTAAGAAGAGCAAAGTTCTGTACCTGCAATCCAGATTGCAGAAGCTTGTCATAATTTGACGTCTCCAATGCATTTTCAACATTTCGTGACATGTCATAAATTTTATTCAAAACCATATTCAAATCTAGAGGCGGCATCTCATCATCAAAATCCAAACGAGCTTCAATCTCAGTGAGCAACTCAACGCACTGACGCCTCAACGATCTCACAAGAGAAGAAAAACCACCCTGAATTCCCGCCAGTGCAGCATCAGCATCAGGCACAGATTTCGCATTGATCAATCTCGCAACATTCTCAGCTTGAAATAGATCCAAACGACCGTTTAAAAAAGCACGAAGAGTAAACTCGCCTGAAAGAAAAACACACCGATTAAGTATCTGCAAATGTTCTTGTGAGTGAGAATAAAGCATTATTAGGATTAGACATAGACACACACAAACCTGGTTGAGCAAGCGTTGCTCCTGCTTCCAAACAAGTTCTAAGCACGCGACGAAGACACACTTCACTACCATGACATTGAAGCTCAACCACGTCCTCGCGAGTGTAGGACCTAGGGGCTAGCATCGGCACTGCCAAAACCTCGTCGATGACGTTGCCATCGGAATCTAACACGACGCCGTATTCCACAACGTGGCTGGTGGGCTGCCACGAGTTTCTGGCGGGCCGAAACACTCGGCCCACAATAGAAACCGCACGAGGGCCCGAAAGTCGAACGATTCCAACTGCAGCAGGAGGACCCCCCAACGATGTTACGATGGCCGCAATTGTGGTTGCAGTTCCAACCTCATCCACACTCTCCTTCCACCCCAACCTCTCATCTTTTTTCACCATTACCCTGTAATTGTCTGAACATGTATTAAGAGCACGAGATTTAACAGTTTTGGAGGATTTAGGGGAAACAAGACGCTGCCACGTGGCTCCCGGATTCAAAATCAAGCGCGGTGGTGGAACGAAGTAGCTGTTACTGTACATATTTATGTGTGTGTGTATGTGACGAATCACCACACGCAAACCACCCATTCTGTTCGTTTTGCTCTCCGCTCTCAGCGCCTGCTACCTGTATTTTATCCCTCCATCTTATTCTTCGTTTTCCGTCCACCCTCACCATCTCAGGCCCATTCTCATTCGCATCTATGCTCCAATGGGCTTTGGCCCATCACCCCTCCAAACTCTCACTCACATAAACCCAACAAAAACATTTATAAGTTAAAAAAAGAAAAGGGCTAATCATATTATTTTGTAGGCCTGTAACTGTAAATGTAAGAGAATATTATATATATTTTTAAAAATTAATAGTTAAATTTTTTTTAATATCTTAAATATTAAAAATATTTATATTTTTTAAATAAACTACTAATTCTACTTATATGTTAATATAAAACTAACAGTAATAATTGTTATAAGAGGATATATAATGTTTTCTTAATTTTTAAGGCACGGTAATTATTATTATTTTTTACATGCCTTTTTAGTCTTATATTTGGAGTGAATAATGTCAGTGAAATTTTTAAAGGAGCACTCAAATTAATTTAAGGACAGTGATTAAGCTTTAAGACTACCTCTGACCATTATTGGTTTGTAAATATGTATTAATAAAATGATTTACTTGTCGCTTCAATTGGTTCCATCAATCCCTAAAAAATAATTCACCCGCAGCCCTTATTGAATGGGTTGTGACCTTGTGTTGTTTACTAGTCTAATGCAGGTTCTGCACTTGTGTTGTTTATTAGTCTAATGCAGGTTCTGCTAATTATTATAAAATGGAACAGCTCAAGCTATCCAATTTAACGACCTCGTTTCCGTTTTTCGTATAGCAAATCACGTTGGCATGTTTACTAATCATTACAAAAAACAAAAAGCTTTCGGAAAAAACAACTTAGCCCATTGTTAAATGTTTCTTGCAGCTTTTATATATATTCGAATCTGACGTTTGATTACTTTTTACCATTTTCAAAAGACGGTACTTTTTACCAAGTGTGCTTGGATGAATCTGGCTTTGTTTTGCCTCTTCGTTCATGCATGACCAAGAGCTAACCAAGATAACACTTGAAAAACCCACCAGTAGTGTTAATCTTATCTTCTACTATTCTCATTCAAACCTCAAACTAGTCCCCATTACAGCAAGAATTTCTAACATGAAATGGAAGAAAAATACACACAACTTGTCGCCTTTATTTTTTAATTTATTAGGCCGGCAATGGCTCAATGGGAGAGGGATGAACAGCTACAGCTTCCCCTTGTGAAAAGAGACCATTCTTCATAAGAGACTCGGCTAGATTCTTTGGACATCAGAGTAAAAACAAGGGATGAGTTAATGCTCATTGCAGTGCACAACTAGCGCACCTTAATTTATGTATCTTCTATTTTATATTTAATTTCCCCACTTTAGGATAAGGATCTTGGAGCACTAACTTGCTGAGTTAGTATCAGATAGGCCACTCTACTGTTTTGTACTGGCTAATTGAAGTGACCATTACCTCATCCTTCACACCTTCGTATATATTATATATCCTTGACTAGCTACAAGCAACTAAGCAAAAATTAAGGCACTGGTGTCCACACCCACATCATTTCATTTATGCATTCCATTTTGTTTTTCAGATTTTTCATGGGTACTCAGCCAGCTTTGGAGAACAGTATGATACAGCCTCTGCAACAGTGAGGAAGATCTTGTCCTCGCCAATCGTGTGTGCAAAATTGGATGTGTAAAGCTTGTTTGTCACTGCGGGGCCAGGATTTGCAAGAACAAGCTGCGCAAAAGAACGAACTCTTTTTGTTGGTAAGATATAATATACTAGTCACATAGTATTATTTATGAGTTTGAACTGTTTTCTAATAAATCATGCGTATATATACGGATCATGCTAGCAGTCATAAGTTGGTTACCTCAACACCCCTCTTCTCAAGACTTCTGTGTAACTCTTCAAAGGCTTGGATTCCACTGGTATCGATGTCAGTAACGGCTGCAACAAAGACACCAAAATTAATAAATAAAATCACAACCCAAAAATGATATTTTTACTCGAGGAATATAAGGTATAACAAAGCACAACAATAGAGACTCTCACGTGACATTTCAACTATCAAAAACTGGATTTTTGTGTGGTAGTCTCCTTTCACTTGTTCTTCTTCATCCATCAGCCATCTTAATATCCTGCAAGAGAATGGATCTTAAGCGTCACGTTCTAAATTGATCGTTGTTCAATCGTTGTGTATATGAGAAAGGGGAAACATTACTTATTTATGAAAAATAAATTGAAGTAAAATTCTGCAAATTTAAGATGCAAATCATGTCCAAATGTAGCAAAGTGGCCATACCAGTCAGATTATTCGAACCACCCAACCGATTCAGCTTTCTTTATTTTGTCACTAAAACCCACTTGCTTTTCCCATTTAAAACCCTAAACCAGTTTTACTCATTCTCACCAGATTTAAGACCTAATTGTAATTGTTAGATTATTCTAATACTAACGCCACAGACATTTCAGATATTATATAATTATTTAACTCCCATAATATATTTAATTGTGTATTCTTATGAGCAACAAATTAAAAATTGTTGTCCTTTTGCATCCACATATAAATTTCGTCTTATGATATTTATAATCATAACTCGTGTTCACTGACATGTTTTGATTCACACATTTGTCTTCCTTAGGCTTTTAGATTATTGCCAAAGAAAAACAAAAATTCTGTAAAATCACTGTACAGGTTCCGGGTAAAAGAAAAATTCTTATCTGTCAACACGTAAAAATAAAGGAGGAACACGTCTTTACCTTTCTTTAACATAATTGGAGTTGGAAAAATATATTGCAGAATCGACTCTTACAATCAGTACACCTGGAACCTTACTAGCTTCTGGATATTGTTGGATGTTTCTATAGACAGAAGTCCGAGGAATATTCCCCAGAATAGCAGTTCTGGGCCTTGTGACTTGTAGTAGGATCTTTGCAAAGGATATAGAGACCTGCCACAGCATGTAGCAATAACCAAGTGAACAAAACTAATCTAAAATTAATTTGACATTTTAGAGCTTAAGATAACTAAGCGTTATAGTAATTACAGCAATTAGAAGTCCTTTCTCAACGGAGAGAAAAACAACCCCAAAGAATGCTCCCATGCAGGCAATAAAATCAATTTTATCTATCTTCCAAATTAAAATTGCTGCCTGATAGTCCACAAGGTTGATGACAGCAGAAATTATGATGGCTGAAAGAATGGCACTTGGAGTGTACTTAAAAAGAGGAGTGATGAATTGCAGGGTTAAGAACACAACTGCTGACATCACAATGTTAGAGACTGCAGTTTGGCAGCCAGCCATGAAATTTACCGCTGACCGAGAGAAAGAACCTGAAGGTAACAACAATGACATAAATCACAGCCTAAAATAATTAGTCTATACGAATCAACTGACCATAAAAGATAATTCTAGTCCCAGATTCTTTTCATGTTCATATAGGCATTAAACTCCATAGTAATAGACCCAAATTTCCTTTTCCAAATTTTTTTTTTGGTATTTCCATGCTTAAAGTATATGCTTATCACTAATTTTTTTTATCAGACATGACTACTTATTAGTTATTACATCTTTTCTTAAACTTGCAATTTATGACTAAAAGTAATTATATTCCTAAATCTGGTCTCAAGCTTACCAGTTGCCACATAACAGGAAGTCATCGAACCAACAACATTCATTGCTCCCAATGCCACCATTTCTTTGTTTCCATCCAGTTGATAGTCCTTCATAGATGCAAATGTTCTTCCAATTGCCGTGGCTTCCTAACAACCAATGTGTAATGGTTTAATTAGAACTACTGAAGTAAATTGCCAGATACTCTTCAAGAGACTATTGGTGTCAAATTTGCTTACGGTCAATGCTATCATGCCTGCCACGACGCCAATTCTGAAACTTTTCCCAAGGTATTGACCGTTAAAATATAGTTCTTTAACAGATGATGGGTTGATCCCTTTATGTATGTGTCTTACCTTCACACATCAAATGACAAAAACGTTATGTCACTCTTAATCATAAAATACGTTATAGTCAGCAATATTTAGCACGGGATTGGAATTTTATATACTTACTATTTCTACTCCTTGCTTATCTGCGCGGGTTATGAATACAAAAAAGGTGGACAATACCACGGATATCAATGGAGCAATTGCTGGAACCCAGAAGAATCTCTTGTTCTTCTTTCCCTGATCCACATCATATGAAATAAAAAGAAAACAATTTACCAATTCCTTACCATTAATTAAGGAATAAAAGTGAAATGAATAAGGGGGTCTAATGCTTTACAATATATTTGGCGAGCAGAAGAAAACCCAAAAAACTAGCTCCGATGACTATAGTTTGCCAGTTCCACTGCATGATGATAGGTATTAAATTATTAATCAACGTGTTTTACATGCACACCATTTAGAAATTTTAATTTTAGGCATGGACTTCTTCAGAAGACTCTTGCTAATTAATAATTTGCATGTATGTTAAAAAATGAGTGATAGGAAGAGAGTTTACTCCATGATGGGCTGTTGAAAATACTGAACGCAGCACCGATACAATATCAGTTTTTGTTGTGAACAATTTACTTTTAATGCCAAGGAAACCCTTTAGCTGCTGAAGGGCAATTGTGATGGCAGCACCCCCCATAAAACCGACAATAGCAGCATGGGATAGAAAGTCAATCAAGAATCCTAACCTGATTGAGAAATAAATGATTAACAACGCACCCATAAGATTGTCATGGAGTATGTTAAACAATGTAACCTTCCTTGCAGCTGATAGCAAAGGTACAGGACATAAGCTTTAGTGGTTGGAAGATTTAACTGCAAAAGAGCATTGGGTGATACTTGGTAGTATCATACCTAAGAACACCAAGCGTTGCTTGAGTAATTCCAGCAAAAAAGGTGGCTGTAAAAGCAAGTCGCCGATATTCTTCTGCATGTTTAGCAGGATCAATCTCATTACTAAGTAAGGTCCCCAACAAGAGAGAAACCACAGCCACTGGTCCTATTGCAATATCACGAGAACTACCCATCACAGCATAAATCAATGGTGGAACAAAGCTAGAGTCTGGAAAGGAGTAGAATGAACAAAAGGCAATAAGATCTCAGTTCAACTTCCAAAGAAAACATGTGGGTAGTTTGAGCTGTTGATGAGAGACGAGTCTTACACAGTCCATACTGAGGATCCAAATGTGCAAGCTTGGCGTATCCAATATCCTGTTTTTCAAGCAAAGTGTTAGAAGCCTGAACCTCAAAAATGGGACATGAAATATGAGTTATTCTCCTGCTCTTTAAAAGGCTTGAAATCAACACTGTAAAATGAAGTTACCTGAGGAATGCAAAGACTTGCTATAGTGAGACCAGATATAATATCACCCCTAAACTTTTTAAGGTTGTAACTTCTCCCCCAATTAAGTATTGGGAATATGGCCTCAATACCAAGAATGATCTTCTTTGATTTAGGTTGATCTTTGAAGGATCTTAGAGGATCATCAGCAAAGAATGTTTCTTTTATAGTGGCTTGGAATTCCTTGAAGAGGTTCTGTCTCGGAGGAATTGCCACTTTGTGGACGTGTGGTGCGTGACCATGTGAAGATGACATACTTCTCTCATCCATCTCCTTTGTTTCAAGGTATTCATCAGCAGGAGGACCCATTGAAGAAATTAACCGTGACCTTCAATCTGTAGTAATACATATTGGAAAAATAATGACTCCTACGTGGGTGATCAGTAATCACAAGAATATGGTTCATATCGCATGCAAAGTCTACTATGTTGCTTAGTACTTTGTCCCGAAACAAAATAAGATATATAATCAGGGACGTAATTTGGAATTTAAGATGTTGATTGATGATAAGATGGCTTATACTAACTATGAGAAATAATTCTGAAATGTTTACCCAACCTTAATAGAAGGGAAGGAGATATGTGACAGAAGATTTGAATGGTCACTGGGCAAGCTGTAACGCCTTCTTAAGCAAGAAAATCGCTATGAAGCTATTGGATTATATAACTTCGACGACTATAGCTTTCAGGTCAATGTTCTCAAGCTGAAATTGAAAATTTGACAAAATTATGTGTGAACAGGATCCGATGCATGTCAAAATCATGCATTTACAATGCATAATTTTCAATCCCGACCAAATTACCTTGGAATTCACCTAAAGTCAGATGGTCATCTAGCAATTGATAATTGTAGTACCATAAGAAAAATTGCGGGGAATACGAGAAGTATTGTCTAGGTAGCAAACTTAGTAGCAGCAAGAAATTCTTAAAATCATTTCACAATCTGCAATTACTGTGCTTCTTTCTTTGAAAACCACGAAGTCAATGAAATTTAAATAAAGACAAAGAAAAAGAAGTTAAACATAGGTCAGTCACAACCATTCATAATGGAAATGCTAGCTCTTAAATGTTGATTGGTAAGCCTATGAGTAGGTTTCTTTGGTCAAATCTCTAGACTAATTTGATCAATAGAAAGATACCTAGGATATTAACACTCTCAAGCTGTCTAAAGTTAAAAAAATAAATCAAAGAATCCAATTAATATTACAAGAGATTGCCAAATTTTGTATATATTCAATGAACAGTAAATAAATGGTATATATGTGCCTCTTCACTAGCACGAGTAGGAGTAAATCTCACGCACAAGTCCCTCTCACTTGAAAGCATAGATACAAAATTCTCAATTATCATCCTCTATGCATTTAAATTTAAATATAGTACAAAACATGTCATTCTCAAAAAAGATTAGAAAGGAATCAAATTCTTAAACCTCAATAAAATTCAATAACCATAAAGTCATTCAAAATAAACATAAACAATATAGAAAACCGTGTTTGACTGTCCAATGGAGCACAGTAGTTTTACTTTGTTGCTTACTAATGTGGAGATAGATCATTAATCCTTCATGTTAAGTATAATACTAGTATATTAGCAAAAGTTCTCATCAATGTAGCGATGCAGCATTTACTTTCTCACTATATAACATGGATGCACATGCAAGTTACATAAAACAGAGAACAACATGAACGCATCCCTTCATTCAGAACTAGACGGAACCAAAATCTGGACTTTTCCTAAATCCTACCCTTTTTGAGTTACGAGTTATGAACCACCAAGTGCTTATTCCAAAATCGTAAATTTGGAGAATAAAGGCTAAAATAGACCCCCAAAACACCTATCCTTCCTAAGCTTCTCATGCAAGCCATTGATAGTGGAGGATTCCAAATACACTAATGCCAAAAGATTTCTTTTTTTCTTCACAAATGCACTTTAACTCTTCCCGTGTCAGAATTCGTGTAAAGCACAAACGGAGACTGACCAACAACCCACGGAAGTGAAAAAACAAACAAACAAACTAGTATATATGGTATATAGATGAAATGGGAGTACCCAGAAATGAAAGAGTTACAGCTTGGCTTTCCACTCCCAGAATCAATGGTTCTTCTCACGTGTCTTTCTGAAAAGCCTCCACTTTTGCTTTTGAACGTGAAACCCATGAACGTAGTGCAGACAAAGTGACAAACACAGCAGGGCTCGGGAATGGAGCAGTTATATTAAAGAAAACAAACCAACAAAGTGTGACACAGTTTATAGATAATTCGCCTTTAAACATGTTGAATAGGATTCGATTTCCAGTGATCCTATGCATGGAAAAGGCCTGGTTAAAAGAGATTAAAAAAAGCCTATTCTATTCCATGATTTCTACGCTTTGATGAAATCAATCTCTAGCTGTCCCATGGGTGCAAACAGCAATAATTATAGTAATGCTGGTTGTGATCACTTGAATCACAAGTTGATAAAAGGTTGGGTTAACAAATCGTGAACCTCGAAGGAGAAGCCCAGTTTGATTGGCGAGAAAATGTATATCCAAATGAATGACAATGAGAGCAAAAAAAAAAAAGTGAGAGATCAATAAAATAAGGTTAAAGCGCTAATGTTTATGTCCCCACAATGTCTTTACGAGGATGCTGCGCTTTGTGTACAAAGTTAATTCGATTATTACAAGATTAGAAAGAAGAGGGTAGACATTCACGGGCTATTACAAACACACGCCAGGGTTGTAATGTTATTCATCGAAACGCGGCAACGGCTATGAAATTGAATAGTGAGAAAGAGAGTTTTAAAAGTGGTTGGGTTGGGTCAACGGTGATTGGTGTGATCTTCTTGCGTTGGCTTTGCGGGGGACCCCACACGTGTAACACAATTTGAACTTTGCACAAGGTCGACATCGCGTCCACGTTCAATGTGCCAGATTACCATTCCTTACCTTTTACTTTTCAAACTTTCAACAAACCCTCACTTCGTTTCTGTCCAAAGCAGCTTTCTAACTTCACTCAGGTTACAATTGTACTGTGGTTAAAGAATTTCAATTTTCTTTTATAATTTTCAATATATTTTATATAAATTTTAATAAAAATTATTTTTTAGAAATTTTTTATTTTTATAATTATTAAATATTTTTTAATATCTTTTATATGTTTAAGAAAATAGATTCATATTTTTATTTAATATTTACTTTATAAAATAGTAAAAAATAAATAAATATGAGGTTATGATAAAATTTTATTAATTATTTATTAAATCCTTGATCAATGTATTTACCACAATGATTAGTAATATTTTTATTTTATTTATTTTTAAAATACATTCAAATTTATTATTTTATTAAAATTATTTAATAAAACGTTTAATTTATTTTTAGCAATTTTTTACTTTTAAATTACTAAATTTTTATTATTGTACTTAAATTTTTTGTGAGTAAAAAAGTATTATAGAAAATTAATAATTAATATTAAAAATAGTAAGTTGTTATGAAAAAAATACAAAGTATAATAAATATTTTATTTTTGATTTTTTTTATGTTTAGATGATTAAAATTAATTTTAAGATTAATATTAAATTAAAAAAATATTAATATTATTAAATTTTTATATAGATGAATAAATAGAAATGTTTTTTACACTGATAAATAGAAATATAGATAATAAATGTTAACTAGTATTTTAATTACATGATCAATGCATTTTTAACAAATTTTTTTTTAGTTAACTAGTCGACGCTCTTTAAAATTTACTATTGATTGTCAACAGCCTTACTAAAATAGTAGTAGAAATCAGAGAATCATTTGCATGATTTTTCGTGAAATTCAGCTTGTCTATTAGGCTGAAAAGGACCGTGAGCCTAACCTCAATCTATAACCATAAATAAAGATAATAAAAGAGGTCAATTCAGGCTTAACTTGTGATCAATTATCAATAAATAAAGGGGTTACTTGTTTTTCTCAACATACTACAATTTTCTTGAGAAATCAAGTTATAATCTAAGAAAGTAATCATCCTGGTATATTTATCCACTAATCAGTTTAATAATATTTAATGTTACCGATCTCATTTTTCAAGATTAAATTGATTTGTTCAAAGAATCAATTCCACACTTCTTTGGTCAATTAATTTAATATATTTATAAAAAATAATATAGCATTCAAAACAAAATGCAAGTAAAATTAGGAGCAGACACAGTTCTAATTCTAAAGTTCAATCGTAAAAAAAATCAATTATTAAGTTAGATTTTTTTTCTTAATTTTTCACTTTTACAAATTGTTGATGACTACGAATTTAAGGAGTATAAAAAGTGGTCTTTATTCTTTTTGTAATTATTCATATTAAATCCTCGCGATAATGATCAAACTTCCTCCTCATTTTGTAGCTTAAAATCAACGATGTTACAACATTAACACAATCTAACGTACATTTAAGCTCAAAGGGAATTTTAAGATAATAATTTTTAGGGTATAAAACAAAGACTTTATTTAATAGTTAGGCCGACCATGAAAGCCCGTTGCAATGGTATAACAAAATTAGTATAGATAACGTAAGTTAACGTGTTATATAACTATGGATAAGTTAGTAAAATAATGTGTTATAGCATATTTTAAAAGTTACGATATTTTTTTTAAATTTTGTAAATTAAAAATATTAAAAATATTAGATATTTAAAACATATTATTTAAAATATATTTTAAATTAAAAAACAAACTAATTATAACAATTTTAAATGTGAGTTTTTTTCTCATTTACATGAAATTAGTTATTATTCTTTCAAATTAATATTATTTTATCTTTATTTTTTAATCTACTTTGACTATTTTATTTATGTTTTTAATTATTAGTTTGATATATTAAATAGTTGTAATTGAAATTTAAAGTTAAGAAGCATAACATCTCAAATTAAAATATTGAATAAAATCAAATAATTCTCAAACTAACAGTCAATTTCTTCTTATTCTACTTAAATATTACATTCAACACATGATTTTCTTATTCTTTAGATAGTATTTAAATATGTTTCCAAAATCTAACAACTCAAATAATCATATTTTTTTTGCATCATTATACTTTAAATTGTAATCGTTGTAAGTAGAATTAATAAAATTATTAAATCTTAATTTTAGTCTTTAAGTAAATTTATTTATTTTTAGTTTTTATAAAATATAAAAATAGTATAGTTTTAGTCCCTCGTCAAGAATTAAATTACATAGATTTTATATTTTGTAGGGACTAAAATGCAAAATATTTATCAGATTAAAATAAAAAAATCATGAGAATTAAAAACATGCTTAATTCTCTTATAACTTTTATTTTTTATTTGATCTTTTTAAATATTATGAAATTTTTTATTTAAATTATATAAAAATTATAAATTTCTTATTTGATTTTCATGAATACTGTAAACAAGGCACTAAATAAAAAATATATATCATAATATTTTAAAATGACCAATTGAATGAAAGTTAATAGAAAAAAACCATCTTGTAATAAAATATTTTATAAGAGAGATAATTTTAAAATAATAAAAAAGGACCACATGAAATATTATAAATAATTTAGAGATTAAAATTTTAATAATACCTAAAATATAACATAATTTCTTTAATTCCAAACAAAAAAAAATCTAGCTGTAAGTGT